AGATACTAATCTAATTTCTTCATTTTATATCCATACTAGGGCAAGCAGCTTGATTGCCAAGAGTACTTTTTCATGTGGTTGAATTGTGAGTGGGGTCAGAGAAAAGGAGAAGGAAAAGGGATTTCAGGGAAAATGAAAACTACACAAGAAAGAAAGAATAATTCAGGTCAAGTTAAAGTTGAGAGATTGTTTGAAGAAAAGTGTTTCAATTTTTGTCATGGTTACTTAACTTTGTTTCTTAATTACTACTTTTTTTTTTTTAATAGTTATTTATTTTAAGAGAAAAGACCATTTCAATATGAGAACAACTATTTAACTTTAAAATGTCAAAAATATTTCAGGTTTTCAGATATTAAAACACGTGAACAATTTCAAATACCCTTTTCCACTTTTATTTTTTTTTTTTATAAATTAATTTATTTTGGGTCAAATGAATGTATTTGCCTACACAATCTCTTTAGAACTGCATACATTTGTGATTTTACTGTTTGCTAAGGAAAAAGAAAAAATAAAACAACAACAAAACAAACAAACAAAAATGGTGCAATGCTTAGCTGCTATTGAAAGCACAAGATTTCCTGAGTAATAATTATTTGTTGCATTTGTGTGGCTTTAGGCTTTAGTTCTAGAGATTACTGATGACCTTCTATTTTTAAACCAAATTCCTTGAGGTACAAAGAAATCTCTGCAGATCCTTAAGATTTGCAACGATCACATCATTCTTTCTCTGTAGAAAAGAGACAGGTTTGTGTTCCTGAGAAACATTGTGCAAGAAAATGCAGAAGGCTTCAGTTGATGGAGCTGACATCTTCCCAGAATCCTCAAAGATTAGTGGATTTTTCAACATTGTTCTCTTATTTTAAAATCCCTCTCCTATTAGGACACCATCAAAACATTTCTTGTTAGTTTTAACTGTAAAAATGGACAAAGAAAAGCATTACATTTCAGAGCAGTTCAGTATTTAAGTTACACTTGTGTTTTTTCTTCGTATCCATGGTTGGATCTGTTCAACGCCATTACAAAACAACCATGAACTGTAGTGGCTGACCCTGGATTCTCCCACATCCTGAGGTGAGCACTCTGACTGGTAGGCTAGAGAAGATTGATCTCTGTGTATGACATGTTAATGAGACTGATAGTTCTGGTGATGCAGAAGATGAGGGTAAATATATGACAATTGGGAGGGCATGGATACTCAGATACATTAATGGTATTTAGGAAAATTACAAGATTAAGATGTAAAGTAACCCAGTCTACTAGAGCATGAACTCACTACCATAACAGGGGGGAGATTTCCACGTACTTCAATCTGAAACCTGTTTGTACTGAGCTAGTGTGCAAACATAGCAATGCCCATTTTAAGCTGGATCATGATTTCCAGTGATTTTCTCAGCAGGTCTTTAAGCAGGTTAATATTAATTAAGTACTAAATTAATTATCTCTCTTCTAAAATTAATTAGCTCTCACTCTGGTCATAACGGAAAGTTTAAACCTCATCAAATCAAGGAGCATTACCTTCTGTATGTAAAGAAAAGTTAGTCTGCCAGCTTTATCTGGGAATTTTATTTAAATAGAAATACTGTTCCTTCTAGATTTTTTTTTTTTTTTTTTTTTTTTTTTTTTTTTTTTTTTGAGTCCAGCTTGCCTTTTTGCTCCCTGTTTTCTTAGTGTGCTCTGTTAATAAGGTTAGCAAATTCTTTGCCTGTCTTGTTTGGAGATATATGTTGAGAAGGATTAGTTTACTTCTTACTCTTTGTCAATGCTAATGGAAAGATCAAATATTTGTACAAACACCTCTTCATTGTGCTAATGAGAGACAGGACTTTGTTAGGTGTAATTTTTACTTTAAACTCTCAGAAAGTTACACGACAGTGTTTATTACAAACAAAGTCCTTAGAAACAAAAGCCCTTATCTTTTTCTGTAACACTGGGGAAATTAACATTTTATGAGAAGTTCTCCCTTCCCCTCTTTAAACCTGTTTCTGATGAATTGGCATGGGTGAAAAGCACTACCACAGTGAAAACCAAAACACAGTGTTAGACTGTGCCTCTACACTCACTTCTTCCATGACAGACAGCAGCAAGACATTGTGCCAATGCACTGTGAAGATATCCTCACCCAGACTCTCTCAAATGCATTCATTCCTATGGAGGTCAAGGAGTGATTATCAGTGCTGAAAGCATTGAAGAACAATGACTAGAAATAAGACAAGTTACAGCAGATGAAAAATGATCTGAAGCTGTGACAGTCCTGTCACAGCTTCTGAAACACATCTAAACAATAATGCATCATTTTGTTTCCAGATTTATTTTTATTTTTTTATTTTTTTTCCTCCTGGCTTCTCCCTGCTAATGGAAAAAGAAAGTTGTTGCTGTGGACATTTCAGTTAAGACATACATCCAGGATAGAACTGCTGTGAAGAATAGGTGCAAGAACAATTTCAGGACACTGATCAACTATGAGTTCAGAGACAAACATGAAGATTATCACAAAGTTCAAAGATAGGATTTGTCAGGAATTTTAGTTAATGTTCGGCTACATGTACCATGAAAAGACACTGAAATACCAAACTTTCAAGCGGTGCTGTTCATAGATGCATATCAAGAAAAATTAAGAGAATATTCTCTCTATACATGATAATGCATTGGCCAGTTCATGGGATACTTCTGTCAGTATTAGCGTGCCCATCACAGAAAGATGTGAAGTAGCAAAAAGGGGTCTAATAGTGAGAAGCGTGCAGAAATGGTCATCTGTAGTCTGGAAAGAGGTTTTCATGTGTAAGGCTTGAAAATATCTGAAGACATTCATCATATTCATCTCAGTCAGCACATTTTTCTGAAGCATCTGTTATCTGAAAATTTTAGACATAAAAGACACTGAACTGGGTGGATCTTACATGTATATTTGGTTCACTGATGTAATTCCAGCATTTCGACAGGCCACACAAAGGACTGAGAAAAAGATGAGCTTTCACTATCCTAGGTATATAAAACTGAAATACAACAGACCCCTCCATCATTACAGCAGTAACTAACTTGCTCAGCTTCTTAATTCTTCTAATTTACAATGCAGCAATATTAAGCAGTAAAACATGTATGTACCAGGAGGGAGAAGGCAGAAAAGAACACAACTGTGAACCGTACACTGAAAGGCATCTGTTCCTTTTCAGAACAATCTAAATAAGAAATGCTTATTACCTTGCAGTAACAGGATAACCGAATGAGCAATTCTTCGATTCTGAGATCAAAATTTTATTTATCTACCCAGGCTGCAGTCACTATTACAGTATTACCAATAGATGTACAACATACAAGCATGGGAAAACTGGTGAATAAGACAAGGCTCTACTAGGTTGAGTACCAGTCATCAGATTGTACAGAAATCATTATCTGTAACCAAATTGAAATCACTCACTTCAGGTACGCAGGCAGATGGTGAGCCTGAGCTCAGCCTGAGGTCAAACTACCAAGGAAAAAGTGTGACAGACTGCTGGACATTGAACAAAATTGAAAAGAAGCAGTTGGCAAAACCTGAAATTGCCTAAAACTAATAAAATGACAGCAGAAGAAACTAGCAAATTGAAATAGAAAAATCAGAAATTTTGATTGTGTTAATAACATCAAAGTACATTGAAAGAGGGGCTTCGGGCTTAGCAAGGATGAATTACCAAATGATGGTGTAAAATCAGCAAATCCAGAGCTATTGGTGAAAGAGTAAAATGAGTTTGTGCTCAATGCAGGAATAAATGGGAAAAAGAATATTAAGCAAATCAAGACGTGCTTTGTTCACAGTTGTTACCAGTCCCTTTGAGCAGCCTTGCAGTTGACAAAGACTGGTGCAGAGCAGGAAACCAATTCTTCTGACTCTACCCCATGTCTGACCAGTTTCTGTAGCCCTGGGGACCAGGGTGTTGTCCTTCATATAAATGCAGGACACTGTAAAAGGGGTGGTGCAGTGACTTGCCCTAGCACAGACATGACTCATTAACATGCTGATACTATGGGATTGGCTTCCATACTGACTTCTCTCCACTAAGAAGAATCAACAGATTAGTTGCAGTTCAATAAGGAGCACCTGCCCATCAGTCTAATTCACTTTTCTATTAACTCACACCATAGTCTCTAAACAAGTACTCAAATGGCAGTAATTTAGTCCTTGAAGATCAGAATTGGGTAATGAACTGATCACATAAACACAAAGTACTTGGAACAGCAAAAGTTTAGTCAGAGATATAGGGTCGGACAGAATATAAAACATGGCACCCCTGCTTTTAGGATGTTTCATTCTCACTACACTGCAGTTATATTTTATGACTATATGTTAGGCATCCTTAGAGGCTTCCTAGATTTGTGTGAGGTCTACCAGGAATTTGAAAAGAAGTTTAATGATGCCATCTTGGCAGAGCAGACCTTTTTACTGAATATGGTGATCGTAATGGTGAGTTATTCGATATACTTAGAACAGTATGTTTACCTGGTATAACACAGCAAGTAACTCTGGACATAACAGGAGCAAAATACATTCTCTTTTGTCAAAGATTATTGAATTTACAGTATTACAGAAACATAGCATATCCGAAGTTGGAAAGGATCCACAGGATTATTGAATCCTAGCTTTGCACAAGAACACCAAAAAAAACACCATCAAACAAGCCATGTGTTCACACACATGTGTTCACACACATGGAGCATAGTCTAAATGCTTATTGAACTCCAGAAGGCTCGGTGCCATGACTACTGCCATGGGGTGCCTGTCCCAGTGCCCAACCACCTTCTTGGTGAAGAACCTTCTCCTACCACCCAGCCTGAACCTCCCCTGTCACAGCTTCATGCTGTTCCATTGGGTCCTATCAGTGGTCTGTACAATATTCAGTATCCAGAAAAGTATAGACTTTTAAATAAAAGCAAAGGTACTTTAATGACCAAATCTAATTTGACTGAACAAGTTTTGCTAAATATTTCTCTGCATCAAAATAAAGAATTCCTGTCAAGGGATTTTATCAAAATTTGATATAGCATATACATGGCTTAAAAACTCAGAGCTGTTTAAAATGTAACATCTAATGACCTTTATTTAAATTATTTCATTGCAATGGAATAGTTATTGTCAGAGCACAAACATGTATTTTGAATCATTCTAAATTAAATAGCATTTACATAAATCTTTGCAGGCAAGATTTAACACTGTTCCAGAGTTAGTCCCACTTAAGCTGGAGAGCAATAGAGTTAATCCACAAGCAGTATTTTCTGAACAACTGTACAGGGACAAGAGAAACCTTTTTATAGAAAGCGTTAAGACCCAAAATGTTTTAAGACCATTCTTACAGTACCTCTATCAATTCTTTGCACAAAATTAAAAAATAATAAAATAAATAAAAAAAAAAAAAAGGAAAGAAAAATCCCACCATCTTTGAAAGTGTGAGATCGTATGGATGAAACAAACAAACAAAAACAAACACAAAAATAAACATAAAACTGCTTTGAAAAAAAGTTGATTTTGAAGGCTTTACTCTTACATCACTTTTTTTTTTTTTTTTTTTTCTGAAAGCAATAATACTATTGTTTATACAGTGAAAAGGTTCTGACCCTAGCATAATGGTTATAGGCTTATGTAAGATGTTAATCCTTAGAGACTGAACCATGCACAGTCCCTTTTGCTCTGTAATGAACTGTAGCAGAACAGAAGTATTGCTTCAACGTTTATATAGGTAAATACAATTAGTCATATAGAAGGACAAAAAAAGTTTCTGAGACATAACACAGGAGACAAGGAGTGTTTGGTGGAAGTAACAGGGTTTTTTTTTTTTTTTTTTTTTTTTTTTTTTTTAAACTGATCCTTAGAAATAAATAGCTAGAGACAAGACCTTTGGTGTGATCTGGCCTTTTATGGCAAAGGGAGAAGGAAGAAGTGATGAGTAAAGTTGGATTTCACATAATGGATATCTACATATCGTGTGCAGATATGTAAGAATAAATTTTGATATTTGATTAATGAGCTTAAAATTGGAAAATTTCAAAATTATTATACTTCATTTGAGGATTAATGCCAATTAAGGCCATATCCTAAACTGATGAACTTGGATAGGTCTGTTTAGGTCTGTTTATTAGCCCATATGTAAAAAGTGATTTGGACAAAATCATACTCTCCTAATTGACACTCCAAGGTGGGACCAAAAAAAAAAAAAAAAGCAAAAAAAAAAAATTTCTTCCTAGAGGTTTTCCTTCCATTCACTCTAAATATGAAGCAGAATTTGGGGTGAGCTTTCCAGATTTTGTTTCCTATCAATGAGTTCCTGCTCTCTTATTAAAAAAAAAAAACAAACAACAACCACCAACCAAACAAAAACAACCCAAGGAACTGGAGAAAAGTTTCTTTTCTTAAAGAGTTTGCTGAAATGGAAAGTCTCAGGGTCTCAGGCATCAAAATAATAGGATTTGCAGGGAAACCTGAAGCATCCAGGAAGAAAGTATTGTAGAAAGTGTAAGTCAAGGACTTAGAGCAATAGTTCTCTCTCTGCTCACTAAATTCTCTCAGCTTGTTATGAAATACATCTGTGTCTGTCTCTCCTACCTTTTAACTTCGGAAACCAAACTAAAGCCAAAAACCAAACCAAAACCAAAATAACAAAAACAAATAGCAGTGACAGTAAAAAGTAAATGAAACATTGCACCCAAGCACAATTCCTGTAAACTCATATCAAAGGTCAATCAACAAAATCAAAGTGCAAGAATTTAATTGTAATCCTATAAATAACCCGAGTAAAAGTACATTAGCACCAGCACAGCAATAAGAAGAAATAACTAGATCTATGCAATATTTTTTTTTGTCATCTCACTGTTTTCCCAGTAAGACAATTCTACTATGTGATCTTTTGTCTGTGTAAAAATTCCTACAATGTGAATCAATAAGCTTATCCATGTGCAAGGTACTTAGCTGAGTTCTTAAATGGTATTGAAAATGAGTAAAAACTACTTTTCTACCTTGATAGCAGGTTGGCACCTATATCCTTCTGATGTTCATTTCACCTGCAGGCACAAAACAGTAGGTAAACAGACCTATGTTTTCTATATCTCATACTACTGGTACATGGTATTCCATGGCATTAAACTGAAAGGCATTTCTTCTAAGCTGTGTAAATTTGCAGAGATTAATCTCTATTTTTGACTTTTTTTTTTTTTTTTACTGTCCAATCAGAATACTAACTGATTTCACTCATCTTTATAAATAGCATTTGTCTTCCTATTGCCATTCAAATATAATTTACACTAGGCAGAGAGATTACAGACCTTGATTTTATATGAAATGTCTTTGAGTCATAGTGAGCAAATGACTCACTTCCATCATTGCTGTTCAGTAAAGTGATTCTGGGATATCAAAATTCTGTTCTGTCTAGTCCCTCCCTCCCCCCTTTCTATCTAATTATTTTCCTTACAGTTTAACTACTGATGAACAATGTTTTAGGGCAATGTTCCAAGTTTGCTCCCATAATTTTTTAGACCAAAATTATGTTTGCACCCATAATTTTTTAGATCAGTCTTTCATTATTACATCTCCCAGCCTTCTTCCAGACCAGAAGAGCTGTCATTTTTGTAGCTTTTGTAAAGGCAACATTTTCCTTCATTTCCTTCAATTTTTCCTCCATTTTTCTTCGATACTTGTTGCATTCAGAGTCCAGTACAGCAGTAAGATCCCTCTTGCTCCACAGAAATGTATACCCTCCAGGACAAACAGAAAGCTCATCTGGTTGATTTAAATGAATACAAAATCTAGGAAGTTACCTATGTGGTGCACATGACAAGTCAACTTTTGGCTTAGTTCTGAGTTCCCTAGTAGAACTCATGGCCATATTTGACCAAAGAAGTTGTGGATGCCCCATCCCTGGAGGTGTTCAAGGCCACGTTGGATGGAGCCCTGGGCAACCTGATCTACTGGGTGGCATCCCTCCCTATGGCAGGGGGGTTGGAACTAGGTGATCTTTCAACTCAAGCCATTCTATGATTCTATGATGCTATACTGGAGTGAGCGCTGCAACAGACCTCAAATACAATGAAGTTCCTAGAACATCTCTTCTATGAGGAAACACTGAGAGATCTTGGACTGTTCAGCCTGGAGAAGAGAAGGCTTGGGGAATCCTATCAAAGTTCATAAATACCTGTTGGGTGTAAAGAAGATGGATCCAGACTCTTCTCGTTGGTGCCCATTGATAGGATGAGGTAATGGGCACAAGGAATTCCTGTTTAAAAATAAGAAATACTCACTGTTTGGTGTAAGAGAGGTTGAATACCAGAACAGACCCTGATTCGATCAGATGTATTGGACTAGTTGATCTCTGTAGATGTCTTTCAGAATCATTGTTCTTTGTTTCTGGTAGCTGACTTTTTTGTGCCTTATAGCAAACCATCCTTAGGATGTACACTGTACAGCATGTTAAAGGAAGACTAAATAGATCCTTCTTCCTTGAGTTGCTTTAGTAGCAATATAGAGTATATTATAGTTAATTTCTTTCCTGTATCCTTTTTGGCACTTCTGTTTATACTAAAATGACTGCATGCCTGAATATCCAGACAAAGGGTTTTAATCTTTATCCTGCAGATGGAGGATACATTTAATTCTTTATGCACTAGATTAGTAAGCAAGAAAGAAGTGAAAATAAAAAGAGTGCACATGACTGCAAGATAGTGTGCATCCTTAAACTTAAATGTAAATAAAAAGTATTAGCAGTAAAATATATGAAGTTTTGCAAGAAATGGTAGATCAGTTTAATTCAATAATTTCATTAGCAATTTTAATCATGTGCTCTTCAGAAATAGGAAGCAACCCTACAAATGGATGAAAAAAGATCATGCTGATTTCTTATACATCAGCCTACAAACAAATCTTTATCTCTTAGGAAGTAAAATAACATGTCATAGGTATTGGACAGTAGAAAACAGTAGAAAATGTGTGTGCACTGAAAACTAACTGGTAAGTGGTATTGCTACAACCTCTGTAATCCTAATATTATTTTTTTCCTCAACCCACTCCAATAATATAATTGACCACAACTCTTACATTTTAGCAACTATAATGACATGAAAAAAAAAAAGGAGAAAAAAGTAGTGCAGTTTACTCAACTACTGTATGGACACTAACCTTACGTTCTTTGAAGTCCTGACCGTAAGGATGGGTACAACTGAGAAGAATCTGGGACAACAGCAGTTATTTGCATATCTCAAAATTTGTACCACTAGGCCAGATCCAGGTGATTAGCCCCTTCCTGTCTCATGCAGTAGATCTACAACTGATAGGCTGAACAACCTCCTTTTCCCCCACCCCCAAACCCAGAAATGTTAGATACCCATTCTCCAGTGAAGACTGGAAAACACTGTTAACAATGTAAAGGAGCTTTGGCCAAGGAGCAGCAGTGGATCATTTCATCTCCACAAGGTGCTTTCATTTTCATTTAGATAATGCCATTGCTTGGCCCATTTCCCAGAGGTGAGAGAAACAAAAAGCTGACCATGCAGGGGCAAAAGAAAACACAAACTAAGAGTAAGGCAGTTGCTTTTCAAAGTTAACATTCTGGCTAGTCCCAGAGATTTCATGTCCTCCTACTGCTTCAGACTGCTATTAGTTTCCATACCTGTTATCTTCAAAACAGATGTTTTTCTTCCACATAGGAAGCTATTAATTGGTAAACAATAGTATTTCTTTTGCCTTCTCAGGATCTGTTCTAAAATTAGTTCCAATGTCCATGCTGTTAACATATTATAAATGCAAATTTATCTGTCAGTCCCTCCTTTCTAATGAATAAGTTACATTGCATTTAGGAAGGAGAACATGACTAAATAGTAATCCTAGAACACCTGATTTATTACAAATTCATACCCTTCATTACCATAGAAAATTTTGTACCTGCAGTCTTCTCCTAGGCAACCTACCTGCTTTTCTGATGCAGAAGGCGGGAGAATGGTATCGTTGTTTCTTGTTAAAATGTACTAGTTTTTCATCCTGCTGTGGCATGGATGTTGTTTGTAAGCAAGCACATAAAGAATGATCCAGTTTGTCAAAGTGCATCTGGATCAGCATATTCTCTTTCTTACATTTTACAACAAAATATCCAAATAAGTCATACAGATGATGCAGAGAAAGTGGTTTGGTTTACATCAAAGGAATTTATGAAAGTTAATGCATATCAAAAATAAAAAGGCATCTGAGTCACTGCACAAAAGCTATTTTTGAACTTATATAATCAAATATACTTACGTATGATACAGAGAGACTGTGCCAGCTATGGCATGCATATCCCTCTACTGTAATTAATCTTTGCAAGCACTTTAAGTCATTTTAGATCTACATTTACTTCTGCCTCACACAGTTGTGGTGTTATCTCAGTTTTCACCATCTGTCACAGACATCAGAAAAACTGACTTAAAGACCATAGAAACAATATCTAAAGCATTCTGTTTTTCATGTTTTATAATTTCTGTAGGTCTGCAAATGTAATTAAGACAAAAACCACCATGTTACTGAATGAGAACTGACAGGTATCAGCAAAGAAGGTACAGTCTTCTTGAGACCTTTGCTTAGAATATGAACTTAGGTCCTGTATCTTTCTGTTTATAAAGAAAAGATCCAATGGAAATAGCAAGAGAGGAAGAAATCTTTCGGAAGATCAGCAGTTGCTAGGGTGTCTTTTCATGCTTTGGCTGTCGTTAGGACTTTTACCCAAGAGCTATGCCATTAATGAGAAGTCTAATGACTTCCATTCCTTTTCTTAAAGGATTCAGCATGTCACCAGTATTTATGAGGAAGCCTGCTGCAGCTACAGGGACATTATGTTCTTCACTATATTTCAAGCTGAGAGATACTGAAAATGTATTGTTAGTTTATCTTTCTCTCTCTCTCTTTTTTTTTTTTTTTTTTTTTTTTTTTTTTTTTTTAAACAGTCTCCCTTTCCCTTCCTCCTTTGTAAATAAATGTACCATATTTCTAGCTGTCAAAGATAGAAAAAATGCCTTCAGGCTTGATGCCAGACCTATTTTCTTCCAAATATCCACCAAATCACCAGAAACTCTTATTAACTGAGTAAGCTGAACCTTCAAATAGCAACTTTTCCAGTCACTCCTGGGGATTTTTGTATCTGCTCATAGAAAATAATACAAAGTTTGGATTATTTATTTCTACTTATTCATATATCTTGCTTTATATTTCAAGGCAATCAATGGAATTATTAAGCTTAATGATGGTTTCTAACACTGAACAATTCTACCAATTAAGGAAAAAAAAAAAAAAAAAACACAACAAAGACAACAACAAAAAAACACAACAGCATCTAGTTTAATTTGTTTTCAGATTTCACCTCAAAACATACTTCCTTTTAAAATTTTCTGTAGAGAAAATTGTTTTCCTTAAACCCCTGAGACCCTGGAAAGAAGTTAAAGTCCCAGTTCTGCAAACACATACTGCCTTAATCACTGAAAGTGTTCACAATAACTGCAGTGACTTTGCTTACAAGTGGGAACAAGCATGACCTTAAACATTAGTAAGACTTCTACCTTGATTCTTTATTACCAGTTTCCAGTTTATCATCTGCCACCTATATTAATTACCAAGTATTTTGTTTAATACTGATGTACCTGTCAGGATTTCAATTTAATCTGTCTCTTGTTATTTGCCAAACTTCCAATCCACCTAAAAGATTAAATGTATGGAAAATACACTCCTGGAAGTGCAATGACTGTCAATAAGATCAAAACTCTTTGAAGTATAGAAGTACCATTAGAATATTAATACAGCTCATGTAACACTTAAAGTGTTACCCCCAACACCTCTATTTCACCATCATCTCTCAAGAAAGTAGAAAGGAGATTCCCTCTTCTCCACTCCTCCAAATTACTTAAAAAGCACTATTGGTATGTTTGCAAATCAGCAGTTTTGCTGCTGATAGATTGATACAATCTATTGGCAACTGCTTATAAAAATAAATATGTTATGTTTCTGGGCCAGTTATATGATCATGACATGTAGTGGTAATACAAGTGATAAAAAATCCACAAATTCTCTTCTGGTCCATGACACCACAAGAAATTTTTGCCATGAGAAAAAGAAACTTTTGCCTGAGAAAGCTCCATCATAACCAGAATTTAATTTTTCTCCAAGGAATGGAAAAAATGCTCTTCTCTGTCATGTCATCCCCTTCTCTTTGGCATTTTCCTCTTTGCTCTCTTTCTGTGTCACTGTTTAAGGGAATTGTACATCCATGCTTAGTGATAGGCTGCTGCTTTTTGTGAATAATTTTGACTGTGTACTGATTGATGATGACAATTATACCATTCACATGATTTCCTTCACTCTTCTCTCCACTGCAGACCCCCATGCTGATGATCAAAACAATGACATCTTGAGAAGAAATGCAGAAACAAGAAAGGGTATGTGCTTGACACTCAAGAATTTTGTCAGATATACGAAAGTATTTCACATGAGACTGAAACTTGGAAGTCTAAAAGCATTACTTGATTTTACTTATGGATTAAACGGTCTCTCTAGAGAAACTCAGATTATTATTTTTTACATTTTTATGCAATATTTAAGTTTTGCTTCCAACAAAACTACCTGAAAATTTGCTGAAAATCAGCTACCTTCCCACTTTTTTCAATGCATCTTCATGGCATTTAATTGTGATTAAGTATCATGGGGTAGAATATGAGTCACAGAACAGCACTGAATGATGTGTCAACATCCTCAGTTCTGTTTTTTTTCTCTTGCTGTGACTGGAGTTCACTGGTTGTTCTGTATCCACTGATATGTTTGTGACATATAACCTAGTTATAATGCAGCTATGATGTTCTTTGGATGATACCAAAAATTGGAGTTGGATTTTATATCTTTATTACCTCAGTGGTTTCCAATTCTTTCAAGTGTTTTTAAAACTATCTTCTCATAAATGACTCATAAGTCTCCCAGTGCAATCGGTGTATTTACTTCCCCTAACTAGGCTAACAAGAATTAGGTACTGCTAAGAAGTTTTCTGGAGCATTATTTGTCATACTTCCTACTTTGTGTGTGCAGGAAATCACACAAAAGCAGATTGTATCATTAATCTCAAATTCAATACAAATAACAGAAAGTTAGACAAACTGATTTCAATAAAAAGAAATATTATCACAGACAAAGATAAGTGTTAACCTAAACTTTCCTGAAAGCTAACACTAGTAGCTACAATTCAATCCACTTATGTCCACTGGTTGAACAGACTATCATCAATCAGAAAAATCTCCCAAGACATCCAGATAAAACCAAATTTAAAGGGTTTTTGAGTGGAGAAGCTTTGCTAAGTACAGAACAATACCAAATGTCTGTAAGGAAAGAGTGGTATGTAACACATGGAGTCAGATTTAGAAAGGATTTAGGGTTAATCAGTGTCTCTGCTTGACTCAGCCCCCCCGAGACACTACATCTTGGGGAAATAATGGATGTCATTAAAAATGGTTATTTATTGTATTGTGGTATTTTTTACTTAAAGGATTTGTAGTATTCCCCTGGGATATCTTGTAAATACCAATGGAAAATACATTGTTAGTCAGTGGGAATTATAATATTTAATGTAGGAGGTGCATTGTAAAATATAATTTAAAGTATAGGTCAAAGAAATCAAACAAGGGAAAACTGCAACTGTATACAGTCAATGAATCTAAATGACTCTCTAATTATAATGTATGTTGTTATGAATCCATGTGTTCCTGCAAGAAAGCAATTTATAACTCACAAAAAGCTTGTTAATCCCCTATGCCCACAGAATGGTCACTCTGATACAAAAGGTTATTTTTCTAGTCAATAGTACTCTGAATCCAGACATTGTGACTGGAAGTTGTGAAAATATTTCAGTAATCACACACACACTCAAAAATTATTGCTTTTAAGTGTGTAGTAGTAATAAGGTCCCACTGACTACCCTGGATTACATTATAGATACTATTTTAGGCAACCCTCATATTTTAAGTCCTGGGGAAAATTAGATGTATTTTTTCTGTAGTATATTTTTGTCACAAGAGTCTCTCTTTTGTGTTGTATGGTTGTGTCAATATTTAATTTTAAGGAATATACAGCCACTACCTATATGCATCTGTATACAATAATACAGCTCTAAGTTGTACAAAACACAATGCTCACAAGACAGGAGTGAACGCAGAGAAAGTGAAGATCAGGCTGCCTCATACCTGTTGACACTCTTACTCCCAGACCTCAGAGCTTTCCAAAGGGAGGATTTGACTTTCTGTTGTAGGCATAAGCAAGTACAAATATTTTAGACATATTTTAGTGGAGGCAGTTGTGCAAATAAGCAGATCTCATGCATAACACACACCTTTCACTCTGTAGATTAGTAGAGGAGCTTTTGCCACATAATCAGGCCCAGCAAAAGGCAGTCAGAAGCTCCACTCAGTCTTGCATTAGCAAACAGATATTGAGTTCCTTATCTTTATTCTTTAATTGCAGAGAGACATCAAGGGGAACACCCTGCCTCAAAGCTAGTCCATCAGTAGGCAGCAGCTATTTTGCTTGAAAGCCAGCTCTTCCCTTCCTAATCTTTTGTTGCACAGAGCTATCAAGAACCACACTGCAGTAGAGAAAAACAGAAGAAAAGCATTATAGATGAGATTACATTTATGCAGGAGCTGACAAATAGACAAGTAATCAAAGTAGTCCAGGTGGTAGTTCACCACCTTGTGATAACACCCACACGTTGGATCTCATACTCTCACAGCACAAGGCCCAGGATTCCCAATGGCCAGCCCTATATTTGAGCTTCATGTTCAAAGACTAATGTTTGTAAATCCTCACTGGTGAATAAAACCCCTCCAGAATCAGTTACTAGTAATTTCTTCATTATATGGTGCTATATCAACATTGATCCCAACTGACTACTGTGACTCATTTTTATACAAACAGGGAACCAAGTGTGAAGCCTTCATGTTAGGCAAAATGTTTGTGAAATACATCAACTGGTTGATGCTTAGGAAATATCTGATTTTGACCCTATGACAAACTGACATTTTTTTTTTTTTTTAATTAAATCATTTTTGCCATCAGAATGATCCACCTACATGTTAGAGTGTAGAATGTAAATGGTATTCTACAGCTGTGGAATTCTACAGTTCTACAAATG